ATCCTTGGGTACATAAGGAAGATGTTCAGACCATAAACAAGGGATTGGAGGCGTGAGAAACAGAAAGCAGACTTGCAAAAATTCAACAAAAGTGGTGAATCAATTTCCAGTTTTCAGGCCATCTCAAGCCTTCCCAGTTATCTCAATCGCTTGCTGGATATCTCTGGGTCATATTGCAATCATTAGCAAGCATTCTCGTGCTCTGAAACACACTGTAAGTGTCCCACGATCTACATACTTTCTTGAAATCGAATCCCAATTCTGGCACTTTTAGCATAATTTATTTGCATATTCTTAATCCTTGAATCATTTGCAAGCTAAGGGTAATACTTAATTGCATTTTCGTTAACCATACAACAAGATGCCATAGTTAGGGTTCTTGCTTCATTTTTGGGGATTTTGTGTACAAGTACAATTGGCCATGGATAGGGGTACCATGATGCTCGTGAGGTTGCCACGAGTTGATCGGTACCATTGTTGTGCATTTATCATGCTTGCATAGAATTTTGGAGAATCACAGGGTTGTACCTACGCCCATTTGTCCGTAGGTAAAAGTCAGGACTTTTAGCAACGGAGGGAGGAAGAAGAAGGGTTGTGTGGCAGGCGGTGACTGGCCAGTTCAAAATTCGCGCGTTTTATAATATATTATTTTGTTTTTCCAATATAATGTTTGTTTATTGTTAACCATACAAAAAGCCAAGCTAGCTCAGATGGTCAGCGTGCAATTGAAAATGCCAATGGGCCTGGGTTCGATTCCCAGGTCCCCAACCTTGTTCCATATTATTTTTCTCTACATCATCAGGTACACGTGCAATACAAGGAGCCTACCATACACCATCAGTAACCAGCCAACAGATCTCCAACAAGGCAGATCCAATGCCTTATCACATGGAGGTCCACAATACACCCCAGTCAAGCACATGTATGGGATCAGGAAAGGTCAAACGGGCTGTTAGCATTTGGGCCCAGAAAGTACAAATCACACCCCCTTCTTGCTGGCAATAACCAGGCCCATCCTATCTCTTTTCTATTTTTCTTTTTATTTAATTTATTTTATTTATTTATTTTCTAACACAAAATTAATTTCTTTTTTACAAAAAAATCATAAAATTAATTTTTCACAAATTTAGAATTAGTTTTTATTTTTATCAAATTTAATTTAATATTAGTTAAGTTTAATTTTAGGGTAATTCTAGCTTTTTTTTGTAAATATTTAAAATCAATTAGAAAAATTAGGGTTGCCTTTGATTTAATTTTTATTTATTTTTCAATAAACAAAATACAAAAATAGGTCAAATTAATTATTTTTCTTAATTTAAATTAATTATTTTTCTTAATTTAAATTAATTAGTAATTAGGTTTGTACTTATTCAATTAAAACCTTATTTTCTCAAAATAACACAAAAACCACAAAAATATGATTTTTCTTTCAATTAGGTATAGACGGGGTCAAAACCCTAATAATTCTCTCGTTTCGATTCATCGCGCGCGCTTATTTATTTTTACCATATTAATGTAACTGCTTACGGTATGTAATAGTTTAATTAGGGTTTTCTTTTATTTATCGTTTTACAGGTTTTTGGCTATGTAATTAATCCCCTACCCCAAAGCCTTGTAACAGCGTAGTTTTATTTCTCGCATTTTAATTCTCGCAAATATTAACTGTTAGATGTATGATAATAGGATTGTATGACAAGATTACATGACAATTTAAAATGGCTAGCAAACCCTAAATGTGCAAAGATAAATAACTGAAATCAGATCACTCGCACATGCGCACTCCTAGGATATACTCTCACTTCGGTTGCCTTCGGTAAACGACTATTAAGTATAGGATATTTTAGTGGTCGCCCTTCTGTCTAAACAAAGATCAAATGTCCCGCTCGGAAATGTTGCCTCGGAAAAGTTGCCTCGGAAATGTTGCCTCGAATATGATCTTAAGACATTAGGGTTATTACTAAGACGTCCTAACATTGCTTTAGTGAGCGTACGTCCCTTTCGAATTGACCCTTGACAACTCCAACGATAGGGCTACCTACTCCTTAATAGTAGGATATCGATGTCTAAAGGAAACAAGAACAAAAACATTCTTTTTTCGAGTAGGTAGATGCTATTAGGTTCTTGCTCAAAATTAAACTTTTTCACACTTACACTTTTTCAAACAAGTTTTCAAAAACACTTCATAACACTCTTGAGGACTGATACAAGGGTTAAAACGAAGTAAAACAAAAAACTTTTCAAAACACACAGACACGGAAGCAATTTTTTTAAAATGATGAGCAAATACCTAAAAGCCCGTAGAAAACTACGATAGAAAGGGTGCTAATACCTTCCCTTTCTATAATCTACCCCCCGTACTCAGAAATCTCGAAAAAAGGTTTTTTCTGTTCTTTTTCCTTTTCCATGATTGGATAAAATAAAAGTCGATGGTGACTCTTGCTTACCGCGACATTTTGCAAACACAAACGCAAAATGCAAACCAGCATTTTCTCAAAACAGTCGGTTCTGCCACCGTATCACACTAGTCATCAAAAAACTTAGGTAAGATTGCATACCGCATTAGCGTTGCCTCCATGAACTTACTAAATAGGATCTTGAAATTCAATGAGTCTATGGAACCTATTATTATCATCTGCGTGTTGATGACGACAATCTACTCTTGTGGATTGCTTTTTCATATAAGGCTATCAGGGACGGAGACTTGAAGTTTTATAATACAGATATGTCCTAGATTTCCTTTAAAAAGGTTGTGAATATAGGATGTCACAACTCTCTGGTATATTGTCCCTGTGTCGTTGTTGTTGTAGGCTCAAGACTTTGTCCTACAGAGCTTTATTGGTGGGGTATAATTTTTATCTTTGTTGTTGATGTTAGTGCTACCTTATCTCACCATTGTGGAAAGGTGATTAGGGAAATTGGAGTTTTAGATGAGAGTACGAACCAAATCAGCTTTACCAGGGGGCACAATGGGTTCTAACTGTAGTTGTAGTAAGTACAATAAAGAATATCATGTTTGCGATGAGATGCACAAGAGGGTCTTTCTTATTCATAGTCGTCAAAACGTGAATCTTGTCCCACATACATAATATGTGACTTCAATCGAACTCAATTAGCATTGCCCTAAATTTAACGAGGAAAAATAATTTAATTGGGGGCGAAGCAGAAAAACCCTAACTTTTAAACGTTGGAATGGGGTGGGGCTTAAGTGTTGATACCTACCCCACACCCCTTACCCACACTCGACCTTCTCAAAAGCATTAAGTTATTATTGTATTTATTAGTCTTATTCCACATTGAACTTTAAAAAACAGTGTATGATTAATTTATGTTGCATGCTATTATTTAATTTGATTATTGATTTTTAATGTTACGAATAAATTAAAATTGAAGATTTGAAAACACGTGAACCCAATTTATTTTGATGATAAAGTTATAATTTTTAGAGGTGTGGGCGGGACAGAGAAACATGTTCCTCGTTCGATGTAAGGGTGGGTGTTCAATAGTTATCCTTGATTGGGTTTGGTGGCGGGGACGAGGGTGGTACATGGAGGCACGTGCTGGGTGGTAATGCTGAAAATTGCTCCCTTCCCTACCCCTTTGTCATGCTTGTGCCCCGCCTTGATGAAATAGTGAGAGTGAGTGAAGCTAGTTATACTCTATAATATGGATGCAATTCAACTCATGATGACTTCACTTATTGCCCTAATACATGAAGTGACACATTCTACCACAATCTATATCGGAAAAGAATTGGGTCAAAAAAACCAATATTCGGTCGGGGACGATTTGTGTGCCTACCTCAAGACCCCACCCATTAGCGTTCTAAGAACTTTCATATTGTATACGGGTGAGATGATTAATGGACCACCTCTCTGAAATTTATATATATTTTTACAATTCACACTTTTTGAAATATGAGATCTAAAAAGACGGTGTGATGAAGACAATTAACATCACCCTAAATTTAACGAGAAAAAATAATTTAATTAGAGATGGGATAGAAAAATCCTAACTTTTAAACATTGGGATGGGGCAGGGCAGTATTGATACCCACCCCTAAATAATATATGACAATTAAAAAAAATATATATGTTTATCATATTATATTAATTATTATAAAATTACTTCAATTAAAGGTATGAACGGAAAGTTATACAAGCACGTGGAGGAAAATAATGCTAAAATGAACTTTCTTCTCAAAGTAGGAGAGAAGGTTTTTTTTGGTGGGAGGCAATGTTTAGATTCTCTTTTCCTTCCACTTTCTTGTTATATCCAAACACAAGATCATAGGTTGGAATTTGTGCTACCTTTCCCATACCTTTTTCTCCGTACACTTTCAGCCCAACCAAACAATACCTTAGAGTTGTATCATTAAAATAAAAGTTAAATGAACTGTTTTAAAAAAAACGTGGCTTAATAAAACCCACAATATAATCACTAAATGAGTTGTATTAGTATTAAAATTCTCTTAGGGTGTATCTAATAGAGAAAGCTCTACTTGTTTTTTTTTTCTTTCCTATCTTTCTAACTTAATGCTTGGTAAACTTTACATTAAGACACTCCAATAATAAAAACACAACAAGCTTCTAATCTTATTTTTAAAGGACTCTGCTAAAGTCTTTGCGCTGGAGATGCTATCAGGTACAACTATTTGTGAAAAATGCACTTCACTAAAATCATACTATGCCATAACATAGCTATATAACCAAGGAAAAACAGAGGAAAGAGAGAAATAGTGAAAAATTCTGAATAATACTAAAGCTACTTTATCAAAATCAACATGCAAGACAAGTAAAAACAAAAACAAAAGTGATTCAAAAAAGTGTTCAAAATGACAATCTGGTACTAACATAAAGAAACTTTGTCTACACTTAACATTGAACTAAAACTAAACTAAGATAACAAATGAATTAAAAGAATAGAACAGACAAATAACCATGCAAAAACTAGGAAACTCCAACTACAAGCTTATAGCTAGTAGTGATGTTGTTCATGTTTCTCTAAGCTTCCCAACCTCTCAAAAGTGTAGCGCGAGCGACACGGTTGAGTCCAAGAGTGAATGCTCCCATTCGCAAGTCGCAGTTGTGAGTTTTACACATTCCTTTAATGTTCTTGAAAGCTCTAGTCATATACCTTTTTAGCTCCAGGTTAACTTTATCTTCATCCCACATAAATCCTTGAATATTCTGCAGAAGTCACATAGGAAAATTTAAAATCTATTTCTCTTAAACATGTTTTCAAGAACCGTTTATTAGCTTTTGAATTTTCACTTATCTCTCGTTAATTATTTATTACCTGGACCCATTCAAAATAGCTTACGGTCACTCCACCAGCATTCGCATAAATGTCAGGTAATATAATAACTCCTTTCTTAGACAGTATCTGCAACAAACAAATCATTCAATTTTATAACATAAGTTTATCATACTACAATAAACAATTCATATTGAGTTTATCGGTTTCATGTAAATATTGTTTCTTATATAAGGAATTGTTGCGGAGAACATCATGCAAACATCATTACCTCATCGGCGTCAGGGTCAGTTGGATGATTTGCAGCTTCTATGATAAACTTTGCTCTTACATCATCAGCATTGTCCCTTCAAGAACCATAGACAAAGTTGAAGTTACACCAACAATTTAATTTTAACAATGATTATCTATGAACTAAGGTAATTTAGACGAAACATACTTGTTGAGAACACCTCCCAAAGCACATGGGATGAGAACATCACATTCATGGGTGAGCAAGTCCTTTGGATCCATGGCATCTGCTCCCGAGAAATCTATCAAATTGGCATTGGCTGCCTTGTGTTTCAGAAGAGCGGCAATATCAATCCCATTTGGATTACTAATAGCACCACTGATGTCACTCACTGCTACCACCTTACCGCCTCTCTCGAAAATTGACTTCGCAGCCCAAGTTCCGACATTTCCAAACCCCTACACAATGTAACATATTAATACTCAATCGTAGTGTTGTTAAACATCGGATTTAACAGCATTGTAACAACATGACTATTGATCCATGATATGCTATTTAGCATAAAATACTGTATAAATGTAAGTGGTATATTAAATATCATGGTATGGTGGTGGTGGTGAATAAATACCTGGATGGCAAATGTCATATCAGAAATTGATTTCCCATATTCAGCAAATAAAGCCTCGGTTCCGAAAACCACTCCTAGTCCAGTGGCAGCCTCTCTTCCCAATGAACCTCCAAGATCCTACAGGCCAAATATTTCAAACTGATTTCTTGAATCTTGGATACACAAATTATCATTGTTATACAAATAGCTTATGCACAAAGACTAAATAGCTTATACATAAACACTTAATTAAGTAGTCTATTCAAATAGGACCTGATTGTGCAATATTATTATACACTTACAATAGGCTTGCCAGTCACCACTGCTGGTGAATGACCATGAAACTTAGAATACTCATCAAGCATCCAAGCCATTGTCTGAGCATTAGTCCCCATATCAGGGGCAGGAACATCTCTATGAATGCCAATGAGATCATGAATTTTTTGAGTGAAAACACGAGTGAGACGTTCCAATTCACTGATGCTCAGATCCTTCGGGTTACAGCCGATGCCACCCTTTGCTCCGCCATAGGGTATGTCTGCAACAGCTGTCTTCCATGTCATTAACTGAGCTAGAGCATTCACTTCGTCCGGGTCAACCTGCCACAAGAAAATCTGATACATTAATACTCAAAAGCAATGTAAATAGTTCATTATTTACCTTCATACGCATGATTCATACTCAAAAGCAATGTAAATAGTTCATTGTTTATCTTCATATGCATGATTCAGTTAAAATTACACACAGCTTTTACAAGTTTATGACTCAGTTAATTAATAAAGTAAAATTATCATTCTCAAGTTCAGGTGCTCAGAAAATTTGGTCAAAGAATAATGGAATAGGAATAAGAATAATTTTAAAGATAGTAATTTTAGATGGAAAAAAATAATTATAAAGTTTTGGAGGAATTGAAGATACCAATTTTAAGAAAATACTCATATATATATTTAATTCATTAATGTGTCAAAGAATTAAAAAACCGCGAAAACACTCGCAACAAAGCAGTATCGAAATATCGTATCGAAATATCGTATCGATACCGTATCGATACCGTTGTTCACCGGCTTTTTTGTGCGATGACCGTAATCAGTGTCCGATCACATCTACCAGCAGTTTTTTTGAGAAATAGAATATATCAATTTTAAGAAAATACTTGTATATATTTAATTCATTAATATATGTCGAAGTTTTAAAAAACCGTTAGGGCAAAAATATCCGCGACAAACCGATATCAAAAGGTATCAATACGGTATTCACCATATTTTTGCGACGATATAATCAGGAAAGCTTTTACAATCATAACAGCGAAAGTAAGAGATCATGAAAAATTCACAACATCAAAGATCGCAAATGCAATAATAATTTATTTCTAGGTTTGAAATTCTAATGATAAATAAAAAACGATCATGATAAATTTTGATAATAAAAAAAGAAGAATATTAAGGAATCAAATCTAACAACCTCAGGATGATACCGAATCCCACCCTTCATAGGACCACGAGCATTATCATGCTGGATCCTAAAACCAATATACGAAACCAAACTTCCGTCATCTTTCGGAATGGTGCATTCGACCTTGATTTCTCTGTAAGGAATAAGAAGACTCTTCTCAAGCTTGGAATCCAAACCGAGAATTCGAGATGCGCAACGAAAGTTACGGTTGGTTGCAACAAGAGCGTTCATATTGACTGCTTCAGTGTAACAGTACTCAAACTTATGGAATGAAACTGAAATCTCAAACCTACTTTTTAAAACAACACATTGCTTGGTTACGTCTCAATCTAGAGGATATACTCGTAATTTAATTTAATTTTTTTATTTATTTTAATATATACTATGTGTTAATGTTACTATAAAATTTAAATTTGTTTCTTTATGTTTATGGAGAAAAAAAATAAATGTTTGTTTTTATTTATAAATAACCTAAAGAGTCCGTTATATTTTAGAAAAAACAAATCATATAAGTATATATACTTTTAAAATTAATTTACATATATACACTATCTGATATGACCGTATTTATTACGATTGCATATAAAAAGGAATATGCATGTATGCTATATGTTGACAGATAAACTTGTACTTTTTTAATTTTATAAAAAAATATTTTTTTTTATTTACAAATAACCTAAAATGTCCATAAAATTTTAAAGTAATATATATATATATATATATATATATATATATATATATATATATATATATATATATATATATATATATATATATATATATATATATATATATATATATATATATATATATATATATATATATATATATATATATATATATATATATATATATATATATATATATATATATATATATATATATAACTTTAAAATTAATTTACATATATCATATATTTATCTAATATGACTCAATTCATTGCAAACTAAGGTTTAAAATGAAATGTAGGCAAAAATGTTGACACATAAAATCGGATTTTTTAAATTTTATAAAAAAGGATAAAAAATTTTTTTTTTATAAATAACCTAAGGTGACCGTTATATTTTAGAGTAAAGGAATTATATAATTAATTTACATATATATGTATCTTATATGACCCTATTCATTGCGAAGAAGATTTAAAATGCAATCCGCATGTAAGTAACAATGTTGACAATTTCACTTATTAAAATGATTTTTTAATTTTATAAAAAAGAAAAATGTTTGTGATTTTATTGGTTGATCAGAACCTGCAAGGTTGTCGGGTGATGATTTGTAGTCCAGCTGTGATGTCGAGGAAAAAAAAGGTTGTACCTGTAAGATACTCTGACGATCAAGTAAGAGTGGGAACAAGGAGATACAAGCAAAGTATTAAGGTATTGGTGGTGAATAGTGAATATTCGATACCTGATCCTCATAGGTGTGAGGGTTTATATAATGCCCCTGGCGCATGACTATTGATTCTTGTTTTTGCGCTTGGACATGTGGGTCCGTAAAAATAGGTAACTGCCAGGACTTGGTCAAACCGGGCAGATGTTCCCGTAACTAGCTGTTGGTTCCGAGGAGGGGTCAAGTTACGGGCAGCGGTCTTGTCGGTTTCTGGTTGCCTACACGACTTAATATCGGACAGACTGAGAGACGCTCGTTGATCACCTTAGGTCAGTGTCGACTTGGGAGGGCAAAGGATTGATATTGCTCGATAGAGAGCGGAAAGGTTTGGGCCATGGACGTGCGGGTCGTACTGAAAGAAAGGGTTATACTGGATGCATTCTAGCTGTCGGGCCAGTCCAGAACAGTAGATGTAACGCCCGTAATTTAATTAATTATTTAATTAAATTATTTTTGGAATATTTGTGAAGTTGTGTTATGATTAATTGGATTTGTTTTATTAAAGTGGAGAAATAATATTAGAAGTATAATATTATGTGGTGTGGGCTTATTTTGAAGGAATAGAAGTAATGAGGGGGTGTGTTAGTTTTAAGCCCAATAAGGAATGAAGAATAATAGGGTTATTTTATTATTGTTAGAAAGAATAGAAAAGAAAGAAGCAGTAGAAGAATAAGGATTTAGAAGAGAACGTGAAGCTGCTGGAATTAGAGGAAAAATGGCAGAATGAGAATTCAACCGGAAGATTGTAGAGCAACCTTCAATCCAAGGTAAAGGTGGGGTTCTGATTCTATAATTGGGTTCATGATGATTGATATGTGGGGTTAGAGGTGATTGATGTCTTGTTCATAAATTGAATGTATATGATGATGAATGATGAGAATCGATGAATTTTAGATGAATAATGATGTCCCGATGTTGTTTAATTGATGTAGATTTATAGGATAACTGTAAGTAATGATTTATCATGATCATATTAAGTTTGTAGAGCTAAAAACATGAATCCCGTAGTGAAAATGCAGAGAAAAATCACAGAATTATGCAGGAAGGATCAGGATGTGTCGACCCCAAACATGATGTGTCGATACATAAGGGTTTAGAGACTCAGTATGAGTCGACACGAAGAGACTTGCGTCGATACATGAAGGTTGAAAGACTCAAGATGAGTCGATCCGTAGGGTGCATGTGTCGATACATGCTGCGTGCAAGACTCTGGATGAGTCGATCCATGAGAGGATGCGTCGACTCATGTTGTGCAGTTAAGGGCAGTACGCGTCAATCCAAGGAGTTTTGCGTCGACCCATATTGCCTGATTTTTGGCAGATTCAGTTTTAAAGTGTTGTAACTTAAGTTTTAGGATGTCGTTTGAGATGTCGTTCGAAGCGTTGAATAGCTAACGCGATGAACTTTATTCTAGAGGATTAAAATGAAGAATAAGAAGTGTAGTCCTAGTATCCAATTTAGGATTTAGAGTTAATTCCCATGTTGATCGTTGCATCGGATTTGTGCAATATGATGAAGATGAGATGCTTAAAGGCTGTTGTTTGAATTATAACAGTAGGATTAGTGATAGTGCTGATGTAAGACTACAGAATAGCAGTATGAATTATTGTAGTATTAATATACATCTGAGTTGTTGATGAGGAGTTATTAATGATGTTGTGTTGATAATTTATAATAAATAAATGATGTTTGATGAATTATTATGATGATATGAGATGTTGATGAAGAGACGTTGAGATGCTTTTGAGATGTTGTTAATTTGAGATGCTTTTGAGATGTTGTTAATTTGAGAGGTTGTTAATTTGAGGTGTTGTTAATTTGGGTGTTGTTATTACATTCATGATTGTGTCGCATACATTGCATTTTAAGATGGAGCTTATGCTCGTTGAGATGGCCTGTATTGGCGAATATTGAGATGAAGGCGTATGCCTTGTTGATGCCTCTATTAATTGGCAAATTTTTGAGATGGGAGTTCTACTCCAATGGTACCACATGCATTTGCATAGTATTGAGTCGCATTATATGATTGCATAAAGAAGGTGTATAATGATGTTGTGAATGAGTATTATCGTTGTGATATTTGTTGATTATGAGATGAGAAGTGGTGATGTTATGTGATCTAATTTAATATATTAATTATCATGCGCTTTATTATATTGTTAGATATCTCACCCCTTCTGTTTGAATGTTGCCCTTATGTTGGTAACGTGCAGGTAACCGAGAGTGAAGGCAGTATACCTTCAGTAGTTCGAGTCGGTGTCATTGCTCTGATATGTAACACTCGGAGGGGATGAACGCTTGCTGTTTTTGATTGTTGATTTTTCAGTTGTTGAACGTTAAGTTGATTATTATTAAATATGTGTTGTTTTGAAGTTGTTGTATTATTGTTAAATATATTATTAAGAATTCTGCTGCGTAGATGTTGAGCTATTTAATTAAAGATGTTATGCTGATGGTTCATCCGATGTTTTGAAAGTATTATATATCCACGATGAATGTAATGAATTTTTATAGAAGAATTTGTGACGCCCCGATTTGTTTGCATGATTGAATTTTATAACTATGATTTATTTGTATAATTGCTTGGGATAAAATTGGGGTGTTACAAAGTTGGTATCAGAGTAAAAGGTTGGTCATACCTTGTCGTCGAGTCGTAGTTGTCTAACAATCGAGTATTGTTAATTTGAGTTCTAACTGTTGTTTATGTTGTAGTGAGAAGTTGAGATGGCTAGAAGGAATGATGATGCAGTTGCTGCTGCTTTAGAAGCAATGGCTCATGCGATGGAAAATCAGCCGAATGCGGACGAGAATGCTGGATCTCGTAGCTTAGCGACTTTCCAGAGAGAGAATCCACCTACGTTCAAGGGAAAGTATGATCCTGAAGGAGCATTGGAGTGGTTGAAAGAGATAGAGAGAATCTTTCATGTGATGGACTGCACTCCAGCGCAGAAGGTTCGTTATGGTACTCATATGCTAGCATCGAGGCTGCTGACTGGTGGCTAGAGACTTGTTAGAAGTTGGAAGCTGCAGGTGAGAATGTCACTCGGGCTGTGTTCCGTGGGGAATTCCTGAGAAAGTACTTTCCTGAAGATGTCTGTGGTAAGAAGGAGATTGAATTCCTTGAGCTGAAGCAAGGGAGTATGTCAGTTGTTAAGTATGCTGCCAAGTTTGCTGAGTTGGCTAAGTTTTATCTGCATTATACTGAGGCAGATGCTGAGTTTTCGAAGTGTATCAAGTTTGAGAACGGGTTGCGCCCGGAGATTAAGAAGGCAGTTGGATACCAAAAGATCTGTGTCTTTGCTGATTTGGTTGATAGCTGCAGGATTTATAAAGAGGATAATAATGCTCATTACAAGATTATCAGTGAGAAGAGGGGTAAGCACCAACAGAATCGTGGTAAGCCTTATGATGCCCCAACTGGTAAAGATAAACAGAAAGTTGCTCAGAGTCAGAGGACTAGTGGGGGAGATGCTCCTGCTGGTGTGGTTTGCTTTAAGTGTGGAAAACCTGGGCATAAGAGTAATGTGTGTACTACTGAAGTGAAGAGGTGTTTCCGTTGTGGCAAGAACGGACATGTTGTATCTGAGTGCGAACATAAGGATGTGATTTGTTTCAATTATAGAGAAGAAGGGCACATTGGTAGTCAGTGTCCAAAACCGAAGAGGGCTCAGTCAAATGGTAAAGTGTTCGCTTTGGTGGAGGATCAGACAGCTGTTGAGGACAGACTTATCGGAGGTACATGTTTCATTAATAGTACTCCTTTAATCACTATTATTGATATTGGTGCTACGCATTGTTTTATTGATGTCGATTGTGTTGAAAGATTGGGTCTTATGTTGTCT